GGAGGTACACGGGATCCGATAGACAACATTGGCGGTTTCGCCTCGTGGCAGGGGCGTTTTTGGTCTCATGACCAGACGTCTAATTGTCGCTTCGGGTTTATGGGCGATGCCGACACCCAATGGTTCCAAAATACGAGCAACTGCCTCGGAAACAATCGCAATGTATGGCAGCGCTCGCCAGACTTTCGGCTGATTTGCCGTTGATTTTACGGTTGGTCTGGACAGTCTGCTGCGTTCAATAAAGCTGCGGGGGTAACCGTTGGAGGTGAACATCCGCCGTAGATAGTGGAATTCGGCTATCTTGTCGGCCGGTTCGCTGCAGTGAGTGTCAACTCTCTTGTAAAGAGATCGAACACAGCTTCGTTTGTGACACAGCGGATGATTGCTGTGGTAGGACAGGACCTGGCGCGTGTTAGTGGCCTTTCTGTAGACCGTCGTTTTCAGGCTCCCGTTGACCTTGCGATGGACCAGAACGTCTAGAAATATAATTATATATAATATATATATATATTATATTATATAATTATATTATATTATATAATATAAAATATATAATTGTCAAGTGGGCGTTTGACCCTCACTGTTGTGGTTAGGATCTCACTCGATACCATTCTGTCCGCACGCCAGCTTGCTACATGCGACAACGAACGCTGTGTCAGAGGACACAAACCGCCTATAATAAATGAGCAGCTCGCTAAGAGTGCAACATATATATATATATATGACAGAGAAGGGAGGACATAGTCTGGGGGGTAGATTGATACTGTACTGTTTCGGGCTCATTGTGCCTTTATGCAGCCAATCATAAACCTGACCACCAGCAGCTGGGACAAGAAACACAAACATGCGCACAGACGCATCTGGCGCAGTCGGTCAAGCACTGAGGCCTACCAGATGGGTCATAAGCACTTCATCGAACCGAAGTCCATTAGCGCCTCGCCACCTGACATTCTCTGTCGCTGCAGATCGGGTATTTATTCACTCAAAAATTGGCGCACACCGATACATTGGCAGTTAGCGAGGCACTGATGAACTGCTGTTCGAGGAAATACTTGTGACCCAACTGGTGGAACCCAGTGGTGGACCACCTGCGACAGGCGATTCTGTGCGCAAGCTTATGTTTCCGGTACCAACTGGTGGTCAAAGTTATGATTGGCTGAATGAAGGAAAACAACCCCGAAACAGTGCTGTATCAATCTACCCCCCAGACTATGTTGCCTCCCCTCCGTCATATACGTATATACATATATATATATATTGAAAAATAGGCATTAAATTTATATATATAATTAAGGTAAAATACCGTACCCAAGAAGCAGATACTTGCTGAAAGCACAGACACGTGTTTCGCCGATATTCTGCCGCTGCGTGACACAACTGCGAGGGGTTCGGCTCCTTAGTGGGACCCCGAGCGATCTCTAGCGGTTTCTGGTATATGAACTCCAGAGAATAACCAAGCGAATAATTTCAGAAATTTATCAGTGCAGTACTTGGAGATAAACATCCAGGACATAACTTTTTAGGGTCAAAACCGAAATGGCAATGAATATTTGACTCGAAGACAATCAACTGCTGTGGAAAAACCACGTAATGCCCATTCTACAAAAACGTAGTACTACGAGTAGTGTGAAATCCATATAGTAAAGGTATTATACCGTAATCCCGACATAGATACATCCTGAAAGCCCAGACAAGAGTTTCGCCGATATTCTGCCGCTGCATAACACAGCTGCGAGGGGTTCGGCTCTTCAGTAGGACCCCCAGCGTTCTCCAGCGGTTTCTGGTATATGAACTCCAGAGAATAATCAAGCGAATGATTTCAGAAATTAATCAGTGAAGGACTTGGAGTTATATATCCGGGAAATTAATTTTTATGGTCAGAACCGAAATGTCAATGAACATGGGAGTCGAAGACAATTAACTACTGTGGAATAACCACGTAATGCACATTCTACAATTAAATTGTACTACGAGTAGTATGAAATCCATATAGTAAAGATATTATACAGTACTCCCGACATAGATACTTGCTGAAAGCCCAGACACGTGTTTCGCCGATATTCTGCCGATGCGTGAGACAACTGCGAGGGGTTCGGCTCTTCAGTGTGACCCCCAGCGTTCTCTAGCGTTTTATGGTATATGAACTCCAAAGAATAATGAAGCGAATAATTTCAGAAATTAATCAGTGCAGGACTTGGAGTTAAATCTCCGGGACATGACTTTTTATGGTCAGAACCGAAATTTTAATGAACATTTGAGTCGAAGACAATTAACTACTGTGGAATAACCACGTAATGCCCATTTTACAAACAAGTAGTACTACCAGTAGTAGTATGAAATCCATATAGAAAAGGTATTATACCGTACTCCCGACGTAGATACTTGTTAAAAGCCCAGAAACGTGTTTCGCCGATATTCTGCCGCTGCGTGACACAGCTGCGAGCGGTTCGGATCTTCATTGGGACTCCCAGCGTTTCTAGCGGTTTATGGTATATGAACTCCAGAGAAGAATCAAGCGAATAATTTCAGAAATTAATAAGTGCAGGACTTGGAGTTAAATCTCCGGGACTGAATAATTTCTGAAATTATTCGCATGAATATTCTCTGGGGTCCATATACAAGAAACCGATAGAGAAAGCTGGGGGTCCTACTGAATAGACGAACCCCTCACAGCTGTGTCACGCAGCGACGGAATTTCGGCGAAACTCGTGTCTGGGCTTTTAGCAAGTATCTATGTCGGGAGTACTGTATAATACATTTACTATATGGATTTCATTCTACTCGTCGTACTACTTGTTTGTAGAATGGGCATTACGTGGTTATTCCAAAGAAATTGATTGCCTTCGACTCAAATGTTCATTTAAATGTCGGTTCTGACCCTAAATAGAGATGTCCTGGATATTTCACTCCAAATCCTGCACTAATTAATTTCTGAAATTATTCGCTTGATAATTTCTGGAGTGCATATACCAGAAACCGCTAGTTAACGCTGGGGGTCCCACTGAAGAGCCGAACCCCTCGCAGCTGTGTCACGCAGCGGCAGAATATCGGCGAAACTCTTGTCTGGGCTTTCAGCAAGTATCTAGGTCGGGAGTACGGTATAATACCTTTACCATATGAAATTCATACTACTCGTAGTACTACTTGTTTGTAGAATGGGCATTACGTGGTTATTCCACAGCAATTGATTGTCTTCGACTCACATTTTCATTGAAATTACTGTTCTGACCCAATGAAGTCATGTACCGGATTTTTCACTCCAAGTCCTGCACTGATAAATTTCTGAAATTATTCGCTTGGTTATTCTCTGGAGTTCATATACCAGAAACCTCTGGAGAACGCTCGGAGACCCACTGAAGATCCGAACCGCTCGCAGCTGCGTCACGCAGCGGCAGAATATCGGCGAAACACGTTTCTGGGCTTTTAACAAGTATCTACGTCGGGAGTACGGTATAATACCTTTTCTATATGGATTTCATACTACTACAGGTAGTACTACTTGTTTGTAAAATGGGCATTACGTGGTTATTCCACAGTAGTTAATTGTCTTCGACTCAAATGTTCATTAAAATTTCGGTTCTGACCCTAAAATGTCATGTCCCGGATATTTAACTCCAAGTCCGGCACTTATTTATTTCTGAAATTATTCGCTTGATATATATATATATATATATATATATATATATGAATTGATATTGGCTCTCACGGATCGTTCACTTGGTACTCACTCGTTCCGTTGTGATTTCGGTATGTACGATCGGTGATCGCCCTCTATCACTGTGTATATCCCGATCGAAAACCGACAGTGCAGCGGGCTCGTGGCCCGGTTGGTATAGGCGTGTATTTCTAAATCAACAGGTCGCGAGTTCAATGCTCGGGCGTTCCACACTTCGGGCTTGGGTATGGCTGGCTGACGACGGCTAATAAGCCAGAAATGGCCATTCCAGTCGCCCTTGTCTTTGTCGGTAATAACATAATGCCTATATATATAGCAGCGAGGAGGGACGACAGAGAATGCGGGTAGATTGTTACAGCACTGTTTCGGGCTTATTCTGCCTTCATTCAGCCATTCATAACCCTGACCACGAGCAGCTGCGACCAGAAACACAAACATGCGCGCATACGCATCTGGCGCAGTCGGTCCACCACTGAGGCCTACCAGATGGGTCATAAGCACTTCATCGAACCGAAGTTCATCAGTGCCTCGCCACCTGTCATTCTCTGTCAGAATAAATTTTCTGGCGTGACAGGGCAGCCAGTGACGCCAGCAAATTCATTCTGACCAGTTCACTTTCTCCACTGTTTATTTCGTCTGACGACGGGTTGGTGTCACCAGCTGGAAAATTTACGAGTAGAACTCAATTTTTCAGACGAGCCTTCTATCTTCATCATATTATATCGGAATGCACACTACCTCAGCTATCCAGCATATTTTTGGGCGTCAAATGCTTATTCTCACCAGACGTTGGGAGAAATTTGCTCAGAGACAGGCTACAACTTACGAGCAGCTGACGTTTCTTCATCGATGTCGCGATCATGGCATCCTACCGAAGTCTCTTCGTTTCAAGCCCACTCTACCGAATGAGACTGGGAGGCTACTTGCACGCAAATATGGATTTCGCGTTTTGGGTGCCGTTATATCAGACGTCCACCGTCGCCTTTGCAGATTCGATGCAACAATATCCGACCTTCGAAGCCAGTGTGCCACAACATTGCCTGAAAATGTATTCGCAGACGTGCTAAACCGAATAAATTTCACCGCTTTAGACGCCAGAATGAAAAATCGAGCCGATCTTCAAGCGAAACTGCAATCTCTTCTTCGCCCTGTCAACGAAACCAGCAGATCGACAAGAGTTGTTAACCTCTCTAAAAGGAGTCTAGCATCCGCTGAACTTAGTCTACTATCTAGAGGAACAAAATTCAGCCACTCTGACGCTGCGACCACAAACTTATTAGCGAGCCTTGAATCTATTTTACTGACCTCCGCTGTGGCTGAAGAAATGCGCGCAGACATAGGCAACTGTGCCACTGGTCTCCTTCGACAAAGGAAGCATTACCAAGTCTTGCCAATCGATGAAGAAAAAGGACTACAGTCGCTTAGGACGGACGACAGCATTGTGATTGTGTCTGCTGACAAAGGTGGCGCGACCGCCGTCATGGAAAAGAGTGATTACGTCAACAAGGCTAACCAAGCCTTTAACGACAGGGAAGCCTACACACCACTCGCGGAGGACCCAACTAAAAAGCAAGCCGCAGCTGTAAAAAAGAAGGTGAATGAGCTCACTCGACTGAAGCTCATAACCCCCGATGACTCCAGATGTATGACTCTCAACGACCCCCGAATAGCCCATGCATATGGCCTTCCAAAGGTGCACAAAGAAGGTGCGCCATTGAGGATCATTGTGCCGCTTATTTGATCACCCACCTACAACCTCGCTAAATGGTTATACAGGCACCTGAAGCACCTCACCAATGGATCACAATATAGCATCAAAAACTCTCAGGCATTCCTCCAGAAGATCCAAGGCCTGAAAGTAAGTCCTGATGAGTGTATTCTATCGTTTGATGTGGTTGCCCTGTTTTCCTCAATACCACATGACCTAGCGATTGAGAGCGTAACCCGACGCCTGCAAGATAACCCAACCAACATTCCGATAGAACACATTTCACAACTTCTTAGACTCTGTCTCAAGAACTACTGCCAATTCGATGGAAAGTTTTATCAACAGGTTAGGGGCACACCAATGGGCTCGCCAATATCAGGTCTACTAGCTGAACTAGTACTACAACAACTAGAAGAGGAGGTTATGCGGACCTTTAAACCAAAAATGTGGCTCAGATACGTAGATGATACGTTTGTTATCATGAAGACCTGCGAAATTGAGCAGCTACACCTGAGTCTGAAAAGCGTGTTCGCAGCTATCCAGTTTACTTGCTAAAAGGCAACAGAAGGCATTCTCCCGATTCTAGACGTTAGTATCCAAACACTAAGTGATGGCGGCCTTGTAACAAGCGTCTACCGAAAAGACACCAGTGCTGACGTCATTCTTAATTATGAAAGCAACCATCCTGCGGCTCATAAAAGGAGCTGTGTCCGAACCCTTTTCCACCGGGCCTATCGGTACTGCAGCAGCGACGATCTACGTAAGAAAGAACTCGCTTTCCTGTATCGGTTATTCCGACTCAACGGATACCCGGTCAGCTTTGTAAAAAATTGTCTCAGGCATCAAAGACAACCACAACTCTTTGGTTCAAATGAGGGACCAGAACATCGGAAATTCTACTTGCTACCCTACATGCAGGGTATTTCCGAAGCGATCGCCCGACAACTAAACCGGTTTGGCATCTTCATTGCCCACAAGCCGGCGTCCTCTGTGCGCGCAACACTATCGCGAGTGAAAGACCCTATACCTAAAGAGCAGAAAACTAATGTCATCTACCGCATTCCGTGTGCCAATTGCTCTTGCGACTATGTTGGCCATACAGGCCGACGACTTGGGACGCGTATAAACGAGCACAAACTAGCGATCCGCCGACGTGACCCTTTGTCACTCGTGTTTGCACACGCCCTTGAAAGCGACCATCGCTTCAACTGGGAAGGAACTGAAGTTGTTGCCGTGGCGAACACAAAACACGCTCGTGAATTCCTCGAAGCCTGGCACTCTAACACGACAAGCATCAATCGCCATGTCGATCTAGATGCTCATTACGAAGGTCTGCGCGCCCGGCTCACTGACTTGCGCCCACAACCTAACAACAGCCGCTAATCCACACTGGGCCATGAAGAATCGCACTATTTCGTCACCCCATTACACCCCCAGACACTGCGAACCGCAACTGCAAACCGTAACACCTCTACGTTGGGCTCACTGACCTCCGCCCGCATGCCGGATCGACGACCATTAAGCCCACTGCCCATAATTCCATTGATTCGTCATCCCCCCTACCCTCCAACATAGGGAGACGCAAAAATTCCGCCTTCCATCCCTTGCCACGGATCCCAGCCTAATTATCTGTCCACCCCCATTCACACATTAGTTGCTTGCCTGTCACTGGCTGCCCTGTCACGCCAGCAAATTTATTCTGACCAGTTCACTTTCTCCAATGTTTATTTCATCTGACGACGGGTTGGTGTCACCAGCTCGAAAATGTACGAGTACAACTCAATTTTTCCGACGAGCATTCTGTCTTCATCATATTATATCGGAATGCACACTAACTAAGCTATCCACATGTATATATATATATTATGATAGTGGGCGCTCGCCGATCAGGTTGCGGAACATGCTCGATCCGTTGTGCCTTGGGACTCATACTAAAAACCTCGCAGGCAGTCGCACAGCGACTAGTAGTAGACATAGATGAGATGATACCGACAAAGACAAGGGAGACCGGAATGGCCATTTCTGGCTTATTAGCCGTCATCAGCCAGTCATACCCAACCCCAAGTGTGGATCACATGAGATTCGAACCCGGGATCTACTGTGCGACTGCCTGCGAGGGTTTAAGTATGAGCCCCAAGGCACAACGGAACGAGCATGTTCCGTAACCTGATCGGCGAGCGCCCACTGTCATAATTAATATTCCCGACCACAACCGACAGGACAACGGGCCCGTGGCTCAATGGTAGAGCGTTCAACTCTATGACCAAAGATCCCGGGTTCGAATATCAAGTGATCCACACTTGGGGTTGGGTATGACTGGCTGATGACGGCTAATAAGCCAGAAATGGCCATTCCGGTCACCCTTGTCTTTGTCGGTATCATTTCATCTATGTCTACTACTAGTCGCTGTGCGACTGCCTGAGAGGGCTTAAGTATGAGCCCCAAGGCACAACGGATCGAGCATGTTCCGTAACCTGATCGGCGAGCGCCCACTGTCATAATTAATATTCTCGATCACAACCGACAGGACAACGGGCCCGTGGCTCAATGGTAGAGCGTTCAACTCTATGACCAAAGATCCCGGGTTCGAATATCAAGTGATCCACACTTGGGGTTGGGTATGACTGGCTGATGACGGCTAATAAGCCAGAAATAGCCATTCCGGTCTCCCTTGTCTTTGTCGGTATCATCTCATCTATGTCTACTACTAGTCGCTGTGCGACTGCCTGCGAGGATTTAAGTATGAGCCGCAAGGCACAACGGATCGAGCATGTTCCGTAACCTGATCGGCGAGCGCCCACTGTCATATATATATATATATATATATATATATATATATATATATATATATATATATATATATATATATACAAGTTATTATTCCGTAATTTCGACGTAGATACTTGCTAAAAGCCCAGACACGTGTTTCGGCGATATTCTAGCGCTGCGTGACACAGCTGCGAGGTGTTGGGCTCTTCAGTGGGTCTCCGAGCGTTCTCTAGCGGTTTCTGGTATATGATCTCCAGAGAATAATCAGGTATATAATTTCAGAAATTTATCAGTGCAGGACTTGGAGAGAAATCTCCTGGACATGACTTTGTAGGGTCAGAACCAAAATTTCAATGGACATTTGAGTCGAAGACAATTAACTACTGTGGAATTACTACGTAATGCCCATTCTACAAACAAGTAGTACTACAAGTAGTATGAAATCCATATAGAAAAGGTATTATATCGTACTCCCGACGTAGATACTTGCTAAAAGCCCAGACACGTTTTTCGCCGATATTCTACCGCTGCGTGACACAGCTGCGAGGGGTTCGGCTCTTCAGTGGGACTCCGAGCGATCTCTAGCGGTTTCTGGTATATGAACTCCAGAGAATAATCAAGCGAATAATTTCAGAAATTAATCAGTGCAGGACTTGGAGATAAACATCCGGTACATAACTTTTTAGGATCAGAACCATTATTTCAATGAACATTGGAGTCGAAGTCAATCAACATCTGTGGAATAGCAACGTATATTTATATATATATATATATATATATAAACTGATATATATATATATATCCTTTCCTTTGTGAAATGCCTATTAGTTTCAGAAAGAACACTTAGGCCTTGATTAATACATTCATTCGTTCATCGCACGTGTGGTCTTTTTATTTTTATAAGGGAAAATTAACGGTTAACATTAATGATCGCTTTATTCGTCCATGATCCCAACCCATCCCAGGACAAAGACGCTGTAGTGTAAGGAAATAACAGTTACGAAACAGGTTTATTCATGGAAAGTCAAAACATTGCCTTCATCCATTGATATTCATTCGCGTAATCTAGATTATCTATGCTTTACCTTTTAAGTTACAAAAGTGGCAAGGAAACCGAACAGAACAGAATGCTCCAGGAAGGGCCTCAGCCTATTGGGGAAGTCCTCCGGTAATTATCAACTTTAGTGAAAGTGAGAAAATAGAGGCATTTCATGGGGCAATGCCGGGAACAGATATCCATCGGAAAAAATTGCTCTGTATTGTGATTTTGTAGAAAAATGCAATTCCTTAATTGATAATCTCAAAACAACAATGTTTCTGAAGTAATACATGTCGCTCCCAATTTCGGTCAGAAACTCGAATTGCACTGGAAGTGTTCTAAGGAGCTACGACTTGTATCGAAGTAAGTGGGAGATCACCAATAATGCACCACCAATGCATGGATTGTTTTTTTATATCAGGGATAATTACTGACTTAAATTCAATACAACTCTTCGCTCGGCAAACATTGCAACTTCATGGTAATGAGAGATTAAGAAGAGCCCATTGTCGTATGCACTGGCAGCAACATGCCCTATCACGTATGTAGCTTTTGATGATTGCGCATTAAATTTTCCGACAATTGCCGATGCAGAGGTCTGCCTGCTGGCAGTCTGAAGTCTTAATGGAATGCCGCTTATAAGGACTTTCCTCCAGCACTCCCTCAGCTGAAGTAATTAGACTTAGCTGTCTTTATGATGGTTAGCTTTAAAGTGAACGTCTTAGTAGTAATAAGAATTTGTACGCATGGTACAACGCCGTCTCGACTGTTGCAGGAGGACCATAGTTTGCTGTTGTTGTTTTTGCTGCTATGTTAGGTCAGGTCAGGGAGGCCGAGCTGACAGACGTATTCACTTCACGTCAAAACCCACTGTCAGCCATGACTTCCAAAGCGTCTGCTGTCTGTATCGTCTGCATGCAGGTATGCATTTACGCAGCACGTGCACAAGACTCCGGTTTCATGCGTAAGTGGACTCAATCCACACACCTAACTGCTGCGCACTTAGCAATCTCTCACATGATCCTAGACGTGCTTTTTCACGTAAGCACACAACGCAGAGTACAGGCGGCGAAAACAGTTTTGAGTTGTGGATTTATAATATTCACCCTTCATTGCCCTCAGAGCAAAATCTATCTCTAACCGCAGGGTTTAATCCACTCCGTCAATGGTCGCTGTCACAGGTCCCCGTTTGATTACGAACACCATATTGGTATCAATTATATCATCGTTTTTTACCCTATCTGTTTTGTCTCTGATTATGGGTTTGAGCAGGCATACGAAAGGTCAGGCTAATAAACATCTTGTCAAGGCAATCGTGTCTCCTTCTTTAAACCTGGTCAATGTTCTTCATCACTGAAACCTGAAGTAGTTGAATCATGACCAAAAGATTTTAGGGCATTTCTTGGTAAATAGGAACAATGCAACTTTTAACCGCCTAAGTTATTTGACAGGAATGCTTCGTTAAAGTCAAGAATATTATTCACCAGGAGAAGCAAGAGACTTCATTGTGATCCATGATTACTACCAACGTATGATGAGGAGGTGTGCAGTGAACGATATAAAAACCATTGCGTTTGAGAGGCCTATATAGGAAAAAAAATTCAGCGTTCTTCAGACGGTTAAATGTTTGCGCTCGCAGGCTTGTAGATAATGGGACGACGCCTAATGCCAAAAACCGACTTTTGTAATCCTTAGTTAGTATGACATGGAAACAGGCAATTCCAATTTATATAAGCGAGGTTTTGCCAAACTCAAAGTATAGTACATAATACATCTGCCTCAACCGTGACCCTGATAGAAGTCTACCCAATATTTGACACATAGCGACTCGGAGTTCGATGGTAGGTGGTGCTGTGGAATCCCTTTAAATGCTTCTAGCAGGCAGCTTGGGCCAAAGTTTGTGCACACAGTTTTAAGACCTTCATTTGATAAGATATCAAGAAGGAGAGGCAACTTCATGGGCGCCTACAATATCAAAAATTAATTTATTTCATCGGAACCGGTAAGGATACGAATTGACGGAGACTGCTGTGTTTGACTTAAAATTAAGTATATCTTCAACACTGAGCATATTGATTTTTGTAAAAGTGTTATTTGCCTTATAATACCCGTTACACATGGCAGACATATTTTGCCCGCTGTCGCATTTGGTCTCATTATTATTAATAAAACTTTTCATGTGAAAGATGTAAACGTCAATGAATTGGCAGATGCCTTCGCCACAAGCTCATCCAGCGAGCGCAATGCATCTTGCTTCCATTTATTTTGCATATTTCGACGTTGTCTGCAGACGCTCTGGAAATTTCGTTAAAAATTAAACCCTGTTAATGCAATAGTGCATGTTCTGCCAGTGATCCGGAGGCAGGTAAGAAGTCCCCAATCCCGTCCATACCTTCCGTATCAATGCTAAATTGAAAGCTGATGTATCACTGAAAAGAGGAAATCAGTCTCATCCATTCGCAGTTCGACAGACATGGACATACATATTCCAGAAGTTATACCCAAATGCGTACAAGCAGAGTACAGATAATTTTGCTGACTTTCGTATTTGGCACGTAGTGTGATTCCGGAGCATCTAAACAATTTATTTCATGTCTATATAGTTTCAAGAACACCTTATTTAAAAGCAATCGGTATTTGATTCATTGTGATTAGTCGTATTGGGGAAAATTTACGGGTGGGCAGCAGGACGGACAGTTCAACGTCCATCTGCCACAGCGAGATGCTTGCGCAGTACATACTTATTTGTCAAAACGTAGTTAGTAATATATACCAGGAATACTTTCAAGACAGAGGCTGATGGACAACTCCCATTTCTGGATGTCCTTAGACGTCAAAAAACCGATGGATCACTTCACAGGTCAGTTTGTCGCAAAGAGGCGTTCAGAGGTAATTCTACACTTTGAGAGTAACCAGCTCGTTATATCCCTAGATAGTATGACGCCAGTTCTAAGCGGAATAGAACATAGACAGGATACCGGAGAACAAATTTACTGTGTCAGTCACTATGTGTACGCCAACTGTTAATCCTTCCCTCCGTGGCTTCGTATTCAAGGGTTCAGCCCTCGTCTGGTTTGAGTGCTCCTACTGGTCTAGTCCGGAGCGCCCGCATGAGCAGGCCCTCGCGTGTTGCTGACCCCTGGAGGTCGCGCATGACTCAGTGGTGTGCTAATGTCTGGCTCGCAAGCCGGCTTCCTAGGCGAGGCTGTACGGCCGGTTTTCGGTTATTTGGCAGGCGTGACGTCCGGCCGACAGGAACAGTGCGTCGTGTCCTGGGCCGTCCTAACACAGCCTGTCCCTCACAAACGGACTGCAGTCTACAGCCTTCTGAATCGAGCTAAAACCCACTGCTCTGATAAATGAAGTCATCGAGCAGACATGGCATAACTCTACAAACTGTTCTCCCCAAAATGGGTGCACGCATGACTTATACGTCAATGCCCGAGGCAGCAGCAACTGAAGGGGGAAGGTATTTCCAATGCGGCGACCGCTTAAGCACCAAAATCAACCACCTGGCGAACTCTCTTATACGTAAAAAAAGTACCTGAACAAATCGAAAGACAATTAAACAAGTACCAGATACATATAGCACATCAGACGGCACCTACAGTACACACACCGCTTGTACACTCTAAGGACAGGGTTGGTTACCTCAAAAGAGAAGGCGTTGTCTACAAAACCCTATGTCCTATTGTGATGCCGTTAATTGTGGCCAAAAATGGAAAATCCATCTAAACCCGTATACATGAACATCAGTCAGTGGGGAAGAGACGCGACAATCCATCCCAGATGGCCATACATACACACACTGGAGACTGGGCACACATTTTCATGGGAGAACAGTCGTATTGTACTCGACTGCCTGATAAGGAAAGGCCGTGAATTCCTTGAGACAATACACTCAGATGAGGCATTCATCAACCGGCATATCGATCTGGATACTACGTGCAATATCTTTAAGGACGGCTTCAAATTGACTGAACCGTCGCCGAGAAGATATCTTCAACCAATCACATAATAATTAGTCAGACTTGGTCTAGAAGTTAATTATCTTTGCACGCCCGTTGTCTGAAGACGCTTTTGGGAACCAGAAACGGAAATGCACGCCATAACATTTTCTGTTTCCCAAAGAATTGCATCCTCCTAATTATATATCTTGGGATGCCCTTTTTTCAATTTATGCCAATCTTACGAGATAAAATATCGACCTCACCGGTACTACCTAAAATCCCAAACACGTGTTTTGCCGCTTCATTGCATAGTTACGATGGCAGGTAATTGAATATAACACAGTTGCCCCCTAATGGATGATGAACCTCGGCCTAAACATTCTTGTCCAATGTTTGTCTGGTTCAAACTGATTGATTCCAAAGTTCAAAAGCAACAATAATAGTCAATGGTCAATCATGGTCCAACATTCATTTGAAGATTGAACGTCTTTTCCAGTAGCAATTTACGCGCACGCAACAAGCGGTCCTATCACCGCAGTAAAAGGGCACGTCATGCATAACATACTCAAAAATGTCCAGTCGAACATGTGTAAATGCAGCGCTTCATCTAACCTGGCTTTGCAATCCTGTCATATGATTTCTTAAAAAACGTTATACGGTAAACATTCGATTGCCCGCCATATCGTTCAGTTTGGGCGTTCTTGAATGACGTACAACCGGCTACAATTCCTGTTTGTTATTTACTTTTTTGAAAGAAAACTTCTGCAGATCAGTTATCGGGAGTCACAGCAGGCCATTTCAAAACCCTTAGTTTGCCAAGAACGATCTGCCCTTCTACAGAGCTTAATACCAGGCTTCATACAGTTATGGGATTTCCGCTAGACAAAAATGTAAATATTGCTAATATGTGTTCTCAAAACTAATAGATTGCAAAATCCGTGATATTGGAGGTACTTTGTTGGGTCGCGCAGAAGTAACTATCATATAAAGACGGATTATTTAAAGTATTTCGATATTGGCTCTCCATTCAACACTCACACAAACGCTATGATACAGCCACTTAACATTACGTCGTCAATGCTGCTATTGCTTTTATTTGGTAGCTTAAATTTCTGACCTATAATTGTTCGCTCAATTGTCAATCGGATGTACCAGCGGAGTCGGAGGAAAAAAACATCGTGCGAAGCATAGCACAACGCCATATATCAGAGCTCGCATAAGATGAAATGCCTGCATAAATTGGATCATCGATCTGGGGGGCAGTCACGGCGCGGGACAATCGGGGCCGCCAATTATCACCGCGGCCGACAAAGATGGGCGGGATTCAGATCACGGTGACATGCGCGTCGGATGCAGCCACACAGGCGGCAATGGTGGGTCAGGCATAGAACAAAGTGCGCCAAAAAAGCAAAGCTGTGTGCACGACTGCTCAGTCTCTAAAGATGGGTAGAAGAAACGACTACCCGAAACGTCAGACCCCAAATACACCTCTCCCGGTGAATGCCTTCTCCTCTTTTAATATACCAGTGTCTCATGATGACGCCCTTAAGAATGTTGTTTCAAGATGACAATTTCGCAAGAGAAGCACGTGAAATAAAGCAGATATTTAGTGAAAAGTTATGTAATATAGTGATCCCAGACCAAAGAAAAAAAACAACATGAGCCTACATGAGGCATGATATCGTTGGACTATTAAGAAAGGCTTGCACCGCAAGATCTCCGAGTTTGGACAGAGCAGATCGCCTCCATGCATTCATTATATGCAGTGCCTCTGTGACATCTTGCAATCGCTTGACGTCAGTCAAACTGGTTAACCGCAGCCCCGTAGCTCGCAACGTCTTTGCAGCTTGTCCAAGAGCGTAAGAATAATGTAATTCTGCTTCTGCATCTACCTTCTGCAACTCAACATGGATTACGTCTCTTGCCACATAAACGTCATAGGAGCCCTGCTTTACCTGAAATGGTACATAAAGTGAACTGGCTGTTTAACAAATATAAAATATTCTGCAAGAATTTGCACAGATTTTTCAAGTTTACACATAGAAGTCCATTTGGTTCCGTTTTCCGGGCATTTCCAAACAATGGTTTGGGATTGTGTTAAAAGCTCAGAGCCGGCGCACATTACACTCATTTACTTCAGTAGCTATTCGAAAAAGATATATTACCGATGTGAGCAAGCAATTTTTTAATACATTATGCATCTAGTGACGCTGAGCACGAACAATGTAGTCACTGACGAATAGCGCTTGCCAATATTTTATGCTCATTGTCACTGTGCAAGTACTTTCAAACGTCATATTAACATGCAAGTGTTTATATCGTATTTTGGGGAGAAGTAAAAGTTAGAAGCGGAGACATGATCTACCCCGGGGTTTCTACTGCTGTATGCCTCGAATGCAGAGCGTTCAGTATTATCTATGCGCTTCTAGGTACGCCACCTGCAGATAAGTATCAAGTAAACAAATATAAATATTTTTATTTGGAATATTAATAGTTTAGGCGGAATGCTCATCCAGTGTACAAATTCCTGAATATCGCCATCCACAAACACATCGTCTGCTTGAGCCTACTGAAATTTTCCTAGGTTGCGAGCGAAAACCCATCAAAAATACCCTTCGAATGGAATACTTGTACTTAGTATAAATTACAACGAATGACATTCTTAGGGAAGGTATGCCTCTTGGATGTTTCTGACCGTTTGCCACTGGAAGGTTTGCTTTTCTTAAGGGTCAAGTCCAATTTTTTATGATGCAGGGAATTTATAGCTCAATCGGCATACCTGCCAGAGCCTATCTTTGTTGTGTGCTTTGCAAACTAGCTTATTGTGGTTATAGTGTGTGTCTGATCGGCCTGTGGATTGACCATGAAGGCTGTGGCTATATGCGAAACCACCGTTCCCCGGCCTTCTGGCAGCAAATGCAGTTTGATACCGAACTAACAGTTAATACTGCGTTTCATCCATATGGGTCCATACGGCTCTTTTGCCGACAGCCCCTCTTTTTGACGGAGTTTACAGTTATGCAGATTACAAAACGCATCAATGGCGTGGCATGCCTGTCTGTCTTCGGATGTACAAAGTGCCTGGAAAGATTGATGGTGTAGTGTACGTGACCTTTGGACAGTAACTCTGCATATTTCTTTCATTCATCGGTTACAACTACAATACCCAGAGCAACCAGTTCTTTATGACAGCCCTCAGCGACATCCATGATTCATTATGGATCTGCTCATGTATAGCCCCCCCCCTTAGTTGTTTTTTTTAACATTTCAAATAGCCAATCCTGCCGCGCTTAATACCCAACATTGTGTTTTTGTCTGCTTATTAGAGTATTGGGTTAGATGGTAGTCGGTAGTCCTCCCGGTGCCGAAAACTCCCAGCCACCTGTCTTACGGACCGGTGGTAATAGGGGCTATACGGGTGGGGCGGATGAGCGGAGGCGTAAATGGCGCTGGCAGTGTATGCCTGGAATTGACGCCCCTGCAAAAGTGAAAGCCTAATTTACATAAGGTAAAAATGCAAGAAGGGCATGGAAATGAGCATGATTAATTCGAACGGTATGCGGAATAAATGAGGCCTTTCCGCAGATTGGGAAGAATAAAAACTGAAGGTGAACAAACAATGGGAAGAAGGCAGTGTGTCTTAAGATCATTCCGCAGTATGTGCGATAGTACTCAAACCGACAGAATGCACATGAGAACACGGGAACCAAGCAGCGGCACGCATGACGGCATAACGCAAGCGGGTTAAGACTTTAATGCCAAGAATATGTTTGGGCGGAAGATAAAATCCGCAAATAATAGTTTATTGCCCCTGTGGCCACATTTAGAATTAAAACTATGGCAGTAGGTGTGTGCTATACGTGGGTGGAGAATCGGTAGACACCCTATCTGCGCGACGGTTGTCCTTTTCGTACACGGTCACGCCGAACTCTGCAAGAGGTCTGGAGTAAAAAGACCAAAGGACGCAGGCAAACCGATAAAGCAGAGACCCGCGCCAATCCGCCTAGGTTAGTAATGAGAAGCTTGATGAATCATAATCCGCCTAGGATAAATCTTTCGCCTTTTACTAAAGCTTTGCGTGTGGGGGTGCAATACGATGAATCTATATAGGCATTTTTGCAGCGCCTCGTTCTCGGGGCGGTTAAAGTGAACAAGAAGGTCGCCCTGACAGGGCTTCTGCGCGTGCACTCCCAGATATATGGAGAACGTAATCACACCTCCTGAAATCGTACTGCCTTAAACTGGAACTGCAAGAAAGGATCGCTAACTAGCAGGGCTACCAACTACCAACCCGCCGAGTATTGTCTATCGCAAATGCAAGGCATTTAGATTTCTCCATGTGGTTAACGAAACGTCAGCTGTATATATATGTCAGGCCACCACGTATGTAAATCATTATGTAGAAGGCCAAGAGTATAGTCGTCTGCTTATTCTATTCTCGTCTGCCTGCACATCGACGCCGGAGTCGCCCAGTTGTGTTTTATCCATCAGGTGAACGCGGGAGTAAACATGCCGAAATATAGAACTACATGCGGTGAGTGGCCGTTCGTTTCATCATACTGTCGATGCGTACGGCCTATCAGCCATTTCGGATACAAAAATCAAGAACACACTCAATATCTTCCGTAAACGTACTTGCTGTTGCAGAATGGAGAACAATTTTGCTCAGCAGTCTTCGGCACAAAAAGCGCATCAGAATGCAAACCCATCGATGGGCGCCCTTAGTATTTGCTGATTCTTCTACCCACCAACAAGTAAATAGGCAAAGTGATTGCCGGTTGTCGCAGACCTTACATCCAGTGCTATTTTAGCTGCCCGTATGACGAAACATATCCATTTCTAACGTACAGCAGCGTTCTCAGAACATTTTATCATTCCATAACTCAATGAATGGAAATTAAGCGGTTAAAAATTACGAATATTTATTATGTAGACTGATCGGTGAGCGCCCAACAGTCATGATTGATATTCCCGATCACAACCGACAGGAAAATGGGCCCGTGGCTCAATGGTAGAGCGTTAAACTTCATGACCAAAAATCCCGGGTTCGAATCTCAAATGATCCACACTTGGGGTTGGGTATGACTGGCTGGTGACGGCTAATAAGCCAGAAATTGCCATTCCCGTCTCCCTTGTCTTTGTCGGTATCATCTTATCTATGTCTACTACTGGTCGCTGTGCGACTGCCTGCGAGGGTTCTAGAGTGAGCACCAAGGCACAACAGAAAGATCGTGTTCTGTAACCTGATCGGTGAGCGCCCAACCGTCATAATATATATGTATATATTCCAAGTCGAATGTGTGCTTTGGGAAAGGAAGATTATTATGCAAATTTTCGACGCCAGTTCACCGAGTCGTCGTCAGGCACAGACGGAAAGCAAATGCGCCAACACAGCTAACATCTTAAGTGCACGTAAAAAATCGATAGTCGTTTGACGCTCACGCCAGTAAGCGGCCGTCGTGTGTGTCAGTCCGTTCTGATTGGTCCTCGTCTCTTCCATCTCACCTTGAGATTTCTGTACGCGGCATCCAACTCTATGTGCCGGTTGCTGCTTGATTCGTTTGAGTGCATGGCCTCAATAAACTCTCGGCCTTTCTTTGAGGGGCACACAGCGACAATGCAAGTTTTTTCCCAAGCGAATATGTACCCGGAATCGTTGAGTTTATATTGTTGTGGAGCGCTTCCAGTTGGTCCTTTTTAACGATAACAAACGTGTCATGTACATATCGCAGCCCCAACTTACGTTTAATTGACGGAAGAGTAGTAGTCTTCAGTTTCTGTTTTGTGACTTCGGCGAGAAAACCAGAAATTGGCGTTCCACAACAATACAAACTCGACGATTCCGGGGCTTACGTTCACACTCGAAATAGAAGTCGACAGTAAACTACCTTTCCTGGATGTTCTCGTACAACAGAAGACTGACGGAACACTACGTACATCCGTTTACCGCAAAGACACTTACGCGGAAATCATTCTACCTTACGAGAGCAATCAGCTAATTTCTCACAGACGGGGTGATGGACGCACGACGTTTGACCTGCCTGTTTGCCGCTGAGTGGTTTAGATCTCCCCGGGGCTGACCGCTGACAGGCCTGCGTGACATCTGTCCTCTTGGGGGTCGGCGTAGTTGTGGTCAAATCAACGTGCCGCTTGGCCCCTCCCACGTCAGCCGGTGGACTGATCGGTCGTTGTGGTTCAGGTGAGCGGGCGCATCGCTGAGACAGTGATCGGCCTTGGTCACATGACCATTTGCCCCCAATTCCGCTCTTTTCCCTGAGCGTTCTCTCGGTCCCGCGTGCTTGCTTGCTTTATTGGTCCTGTCCGGGCTGATCCGAGCCGTGTACGTAATGCCTGGTAGGCGGGATGTAGATCTATAGCTCGGTTGAGTGTACCAGTCAGACACCAACTTTCGAGCAGTAGTCTGGCCATCTTCTCATTGGCTCGACCAATTACCCTCGCCTTCTCAAAGGCAAATTTGTGGTTCAGTTCTCGTATGTGGCCATAAACGAAATACAGCTTGTCCTTGCGGTTGATTGCAAGTTGGTGTTCGTGCAATCTTGTGCCGAGTCGTTTGCCCGTTTCACCAACATACCTTGCTTTGCAATTTAGGCATCGCATGCTGTAGACCACCGCCGACTGTTCTGTTGTTGGTAGCGGATCTGTGGGCTTAATGATTTGCTGTCCGATGGTGCATTCTGGTTTATGAGTCACGCCAATCCCAAAAGGTTTTAGATTTTGGGATTGGCGTGGCTCATAAAACAGAATGCACCCGCTTTGTTGAATTCAATCTTTCCCGTCATGCAGTTTACTATGGACGAAGAGCTCAACAATCAGCTGGCCTTCCTTGCCGTACAACTGACGAAGCTGGAGGACGGGAAGCTAAGGACAACGGTCTACCGCAAGGCAGCTAACACCAGGCGAATCCTCCACTTCAAGAGCAGCCACCCCGTTGTTCACAAACGCATTTGTTTCAGGAACCTCTTCCAGCGCATTCAAACGCACTGCAGCGACGAAAATGGGATGAAGGAAAAGATTAAGTACTTGCACACCCTATTTAAAGCTAACGATTATCCCAAGTACTTCATGCGCAAGTGTCTTAAGAAGCCCCACCCTGAGCGGTCGAACGAAGAAAACCCGAAAATTTGGCTCACAATCCTTTATTTCAAAAACGTGTCAGAGGCGACGGCAAGAATCCTAAAGCCTTTCGGGATCGGAGTGGCTCACTAGCCAGAGTCAACAATCAAACAGCAAACAATGAGGCCCAAAGACCCGCTACCGGTGACAGAACAATCAGCGATGGTCTACAGCATACCATGCCAAAACCGTGAAGAAAGGTATGTTGGTGAAACGGGCAAACGTCTTGGCACAAGATTGCATGGACACCAGATTGCAATCAACCGCAAGGACAAGCTGTCTATGGATTATGGCCACGTCAAACAGCAGAACTACAAATTCGCCTTTGAAAAGGCAAGGGTAATCGCCAGAGCCAATGATAAGATGGCCAGACTGATGCTCGCAATTTGGTCCTCGACTGGCACACTCAACAGAGCCATAGATCTGCATCCCGCCTATCAGGCACTACGCACAAAGCTCGAGTCAGTGCGGACAAGGTCATCAGCACAGTAAAGCAAAGTGACGCGTGGCTGACAGCCGATGTCAACAGAAAGTAGGAGAGAAGCCGGCCGGGGATCATGTTACCAGCATGGGCCGCCACCTCGTCGCTATGCCCACGAGGCTGAGATCAACTTACATGAGCCCCAACAACTGATCAGTCCGCTGAGTGACGAGGGGGAGGCCGACAAGCATGCTGGCTTGCCAACAATTACGACGGCCGAAAAGGGGTCATTAGTGGCAGGAGCCGACGGCGGTCAATCGTGGAGAGGTCAACGCTAATCGGTGGCGGACGGGCAGGTCAAAGGTCGTGCCTCGCGCTCGGATATAATACCAGGCAGGTATCAAGGCTAACGCAATCAAGACCAGCAGGAACTGTCAAAACATTACTCTGATGATGGAAACGAGAGGGTTTCCGAAACGTCATTACAAATATAACTCGGTCCATGAATGCGACCTATCTTCTTCCTCGTCTACTTCGGTGGATGATGAACGTGATATATGTATAGATATATAGACATATTTGCATTATTAATATCTGATAAAACAGTAGTCGCGATCACGGATCTATGATCTAATAGAAGAACACTGAAGTTAAAAATGCTGGGAAACAATAAAAATGTGCGTTCAAATTAAGCATCAATCGGATTTGGATTTACCTATTATGGGCTGTCGATGGCAAATGAACTACAAGTAGTAGTCTCAGGCCCCATCTGCATACGTAATTAAGTGTATGCTCTAAATATAATTACGTTTACGTTGGACAGATTATAATTTCGTCTTCAGTGCAGGCGGACATGCAAGACCATGCTAAGCTTGCTCAGTCTTCTTGCATTGGTCTATCCACGTGTTGTAGTTTAAAGTAAGATTTACAGACAGATTTAATTAGAAAACAAGTCACCAATACGTATAAAATTATTCAAATTATGGTATGCGTACTGTGTGATGCATTTCAAATTTCACAGTTGAGAAGGTCAGGTTGCATGCCATCTTAAAGAACTCTGCCTCCAGTACGCGATCGATATAGAAACATTGGTGTACTTGTGGATTGGCTGCTGTTGTCATGCGAAGTTTGGTTTTGCTTCCTCGGCTGTACGACATGGAAGCGCTGAATTGACAAGAGCGTTCGAATCGTTTTTGAACAAACTCGTGCAGTTGGAATCTCACGCCCGAACCTGGGCATGGCGGACCGGCTTGAAAACATATAATGAAAAGGGATAGCTTGACAAATATTTGTGCGCAAGAGCAGATTCCGCGAAACTATTCACAATTATCGAGTTTGTCTAGGTAGAAATGGCAGGCTACGGACTTCACACAACTCCAAATCGCGTAAGACAATGTCTGATGTTAAGCGGACAGGATCAGAGTAAATGGAAGTTCCTTAGGCAAACAGTCTGGGTACAGTTCAAAATGCGTCATCAGGGGGCGTCACCGTCGCTTAGTTAATGATCACGGGCTCATAGTCGGTGTTGATTATTAGTCAAATAACCGCATGACCGTCTATCTCTTCAGCACTGTTTCACCAATCCATTTTTGTTTTATATGCGTATGCAGTAAGCGCAGTGAAAACTTTTGGCAGCAAAAGTGGAGAGTCTTGGGAGGTACAGTATCGTTCGTGAAATTGGCAAATGCCATAGGCTGGAGGGTGACCAATCAGCACTCGTGGCTTTGAGTGTGCACTGCCACGCATATTTTGCGACTTTTATGGGCAAGGGGTAAACATACGGCGAAGTGTGCGCCTGGGCTTGTCCCACGAATAATTGCTATATTCGTTCAAACTCAAAGGCCCAAACTTCGACGAGAAATTGGGCTGCTTATGCGGAACCCTACCGGATGCCATGGTAAGGACGTGAAATGCCCATCAGTCTATCTTAGCATAGGCATGCTGAATCTGCATCGCCAACGGTAACATTCTGTACTGCCTTATAAATGCTCCAGAGACGAGCGACAAAACTGATCAACGTAAGGGAAGATCGCCTTATAACTGACGTCGACTGTAAAAAATGATTCTTATTTGCTAGTAAAACCGAAGAGGAGAGTTCCGGAAAGTAGTCGAGGTGAAAGAGAAAAACCGCTCAAACACCGGATTTCAACGGATGACGAAATCCGGTAAACGACCCTTCGGCGGTGTGCGATGAGCGTGGGAGCCAATTATCTTGACCGACACAAGGGCGTATAACAACTGTGTGGCAACGGCGTGCTTCAACACCTGACCAGTCAAGCCGTGATGCGTGTAATGCCTGCCAAATGTGATAAGCATGCAGTCGGCCCAACAAATACATCCTATAAATATTGCTACACACGGGCAGCCCACTGACCCCCTCCGACTGTCTGGATTCGGGTTTGAACCCGAAACGTCACGCTAATAAAGTCATATCCTAAAAATACGCACAGGGACGCAGGTTTCACTTCAATAGCAGAGTCGCGGCATCAAAGAAAACTCTGCCTCTTCATGTCGTAAATTTATTTATAGTCTAACTCTACACACATAATACTTCTCGCCAACTCTTTATCTTCACAGCATCTCCTCATTTGATTACATGTGATTGGACAACTTCCAATAACTAAATTGAAGTATATGCTGACATGAAACTATATAAATATTTCCCCTTTCAGTGTTTTGATGCATTGGTGTTTTATCTCTTTACAAGTTTACATTCAGTAGGGAGCGGAAAGTTATTTGAAGAGTTTCCCTTAGTTACAGTTAACTGAAACAAGTGAGTGCGTGATAGTCTGGGGATGCCTAATTTAAGACACTACATTGGTGAAGTATAATATGCAGCATTCCCTTAAACAATTGCGAATGAGGCAACAAAAATTAGAAACAAATAATCGCGAATTAATTAAAAATAACTTACAGAGAATAGTTGTGTAGGAGTTGTTAATATGCAACAGCAGGATCATCGTCGACTGCAAGATGATTTCCCTGCGCGACATGAGTTCACTGACTGAGGTGTAAGCTGTATGTTTACCAATTTATATTCACTGAGATCCGCGACTGCCCCTTCAACGAGTTAACTCACATGGTTACAAAGGGCGTATGGTATTGGCAGAGCAGTTTGTAGACAGATGTATCATGCTTCACCAATCTTCAAACCCCACGCAAATAAGTGTCTCCCACATTTTAAACATAACATAAATTATGCCTGTAGAACAGCTTAGGCGATTGCAAAATACGTAATATTTTCCAATGTCTTTTAAGAAAAGTGTATTTCTGTTCAATAATTCGTCTCGTTTAATGAACACTTTGAGGGATTTCCTGATAATATCGTATTTTGAAAGCATTTTTATAGTGTTGGCGGCATCGACGTTTATTATATCGAGCTGGATTACGCGAAAAATGATGGTCACGCAAACGTATATTTTTATTTATCCATTTGTTGTTCGTTGCATATTTACATATGTATATGTGCTACTAAAAGAATTATTTGAAACCGTGTACAAAAGCACTTAAATTAGTTAGTGTTTAAGATATTTCGAAGTACGAGTTCAATTTAGTCATTTATATTGAAATTGTGCCAACACGCCCGGGTATTCTACGTGCATTTTTTCATTCATGTAAACGTTTGTGGCGGTTGGGTTAATGCCGTTTTTTTAGGCATCGATCCTTAAGGTAGCCACAAGGAACAGCGTCGGTCGATGTCTGACTTGGCTGGCGTGGGGACTAATTGAAAGCAGTATTCAACTTTAGCGCAAGCCAGATTTGAATCCATGAGCAACTGGACTGATACCACTTTTATATGAACTAATCTTTTCAGATGGCCTCGACGAAAATCCTCGGTTGCTGGTTGAATGGGTTGACAGGGAGTCTAGTTGAAAATTACTAAATTGTTAACAATTTGATGATTAACCGAAATGGCGATAGATGGAAGTTCAATAACATTGTCTAGTGGATGATTTTCGTCATCATCACCACCAACATCGGGCGGTTTTAAGCTGCGGCCGAATCGGCCACTAGCAGCTACCGAGCCTGGATTCAACGTCGGAGTATTTGCATCAATGAAATATTCGAGCCTCGGCGCACTCCCTATGTTTGCATCAACTTGAGTGGCTAACTGTCATCTGCCTTGTTGATAATGAAGCAATTTAGGATATATCCTTCATTACTTCCTCTTTGGATAGTGGGGTTAAACTCTATATAATTAACCATGGTGGATGTAGATAGGGCAGACTATCCTCGTCCAAAGAATCCCCTTAAAATACTCTTTTATTTCGTTTGATGTCCGACACGTTTCACCAATGTCGTCTATTTTTTTTCAATCATGTGAGCAGGCAGACGCTTGGATGTACACATTTAAATATTCCGTAGCAGTCCACACAAATAACAGGCCCCTTCAGACTATGCGTTGGGTTAAGAATGGGTCCTGCCGATGTTTATTCTGTCAGCCGTATGCGCGGCCTCAAAGAACCATGTGAAATGGAAAGTACAAACTGAAATGCCCATAATCCATGGACGACCGTCATTCACACAGCTGTCTTTCGGAAACCGATGTTCAGCATTTATAAACTGCCTATGTCCTTTCAATGTCAATATGCAATATGCAAGATATACAAGTGGGGTTCAAATGGGTCGCAATTGAAAAAAAGATTGAATCACTGCATTATCTGTCCTTTCC